TCATTACGTATTTAGTCAAATTATTTATTTAAACCATTGTTATTGGGTTTTCGTGGATTCCAAAGCGTTTGTGGGTCTTGTAAATGCAATTCCAATTATCATGACAGCTCCTTAGCGATAGAAGCCGCCTGTACGTTGCTTCACACATAATTTCACATAAAACTCTCTCTTCGTAGGTTTCGTGATACTGTGTTGGCCAGCGGTGGTGCACGTCACCCAAGTGATGTCTTTCAAGACTTCCGAGGGCGACCGCCTTCACCCGACTACTTACTGAGGAGCTATGGGCTTCAATAGTCCAGCCACGCAAAAAATCAATCAGGCTTTCAACTACTTCAACTTTATTTGACTTTCTTACAAGCTTGTTGACATATACATACCGTCCTAATAGGGTACAATTAGGCAGATTTAGCAAAGACGACGCAACACGTGATAAGAACTTGGGAACGCGAGGGTTGAGGACGGAAAACTTCGTCCGGTGTTCAAGTAATTTTTCATTTCAAATTGTAGGTGTATTTTTTAAAATTATATTACTTTGGGATTAGCTTTTTAAAAGCTAGCTCCATTGTTTTTTTCCTTCCCAATTTGTTCAAGGTAACCAGAAAAGAAAAGTGTTTTCCTTTGCCTTGGGTTTTACTGTCTGCTAATTCGGTTAATTAAATTTAGCGAGCATTCAAGACCTTGAATATAGCACTAACACAACAAAACTGCGGTAAGAACATGGTGACACTCTTGCCCGCGGCTGGTGTGCCACTCATTTTTGTGCTTATACCACATTTTGACGTCCTCTGTGATCTATTGCTGATCAGAGACACGACACGGCATCTATTAGGTAATAAGATTTTTAAAAATCTCTGTCCAGAAAATCGGGCAAAATTGCCGAGGAAAATATAACCAGATGAAACGGTCAAATATAAATTTCAGTAGTTTAAAGATCGGCCAGTCAATATAATCGAAGAAGTTGGGTGCAGATGTTGCGAAGATCAGAAAGCCTCTACCCGCCCCGCTTCATTTCGTCTTGCTCGGCGGAATTTCATTCATCAAGCGACCCTGATCTCGGGTGAAATGAATATAATTAACACCAGTTTATTGGCATTTAACAAGCCTAACTATTCCTTGTTTCACCTTTTCGTTTCCCCTATAATACAACACCGGATTAATACTTGACCACAAAATAGTTAGGGGAGAGAGGACAGGCCCCAAAAGCTCTATATATTTTGTTTTTGTGACAACCGTGAGAATATTGATAAAAGCAACAGGGACGAAAATCAATGCCAATACCCCCACCACATTTGTTGTTATTTTGCTCAACCTGCGTTCTATGGCGGCATTTGCAGTGTTAGCTGTAGGATTTGCTGCATTACCTTCCTCCATCATGTCGGCTACAGCCCTGTTGTGGCGACGAAGGAGACGAATTGTCATGATCTGGAGAATGACGATGATTGCTACTGAGGGTATAGAGATGGCAGGTAGCAGGACATTTTTGAGGGTTGATTGTTGGCCAGCCACCTCTCTGACAAAGCCACTTGTAATGGACACCGTCCAAACTGCTATACAGGCCACGAGGGCGCGATGCCAGGTTACCCAGAACTTGTATTGAGTAAAGCTTCGGACAGCTACGTAACGATCGATGCTGATAATGGTGAGACTTAGGATTGTTCCAAGAAAAGTGATCGTAGTTGCACTAAACATTGGCATTGTCTCTATTTCCGAGTACACTTGGCAAACTTGATTGTTAAGTAGGTGCTTTAATCTGAAAGCGGAAACCGTGAAAGTAGCCATTGCACTCCGTAAAAGGTCAGTAAAGGAAAGACTGCAAAGCATTAACAGGCCTGGACGAATGGATTTGATTCCACTTCTCAATAACGCTACGATGACAGCTGCATTGGACACAAAACACCAAATGCTCAACAGCAGCGTGATTGGCGCAAACCAGTTTACATAGTAGAAGTACTGTGTCTGGAAGGACACAGAAATTCCTGCAACAAGACACGTCTGATCATCTTGGTCTTCCATCACTTTGTCGAGACCCTAGAGTAGTGTAACAAAAAATAAAACTGTTATATGTGGTTATTTTAACATGAGAGGCTAAGTTTTCATCCGTCCGATATCCAGAGATATCGGAAGTCTTTTTCGAGGATTGAATATACCTTATGTATGATAACGAATGTTGAAGGAAATAGAATTATTTTTAACGAATGCTGCTAATCTTTTGAAGTGTGCCAGTTTGGATTGATGAACAGCGTTTCACTGAAACGGCTAGGTCATTTTGCCAGTGTAACCAGCTGGTCAGTTTAAAAAATAAGGAGGCAATCAAAGACTAAGGGCCAAATATTTGAACGTAGTTTAGCCAGTGTTCAACAAAACTGCGTTCTAAGTCATTTTCAATTTGCCCAACGATTTTATCTAAGCATCATTTATTGGGAACAGTTTTATGAAAGCATATAGAGAAGACTAGAAAAGCATTTATCTTCTTAAAGCAGCGCACCAAAGAAGAGATCTGGAGGTTCAAAGATTCGTTAAACCGCGGCTTAAGTTAGACTTCGTTTAAATATTTGGCCCTAAGAAGTTAACCTAGTAACTATCTCTTTTTCTGTAATCTTCATTTCTATATCCTCCCTGTTACTATTTTCCTTTCCTTTTCTTCCTAGTAAGATTTTTGGGGTTCTTTTCTATAGAAACGGTTTTACTTATATTTTTACTTATTGAATTGTACACAACACAAATTATTATTATTTTCTTGATTTTAAATGTCTTAAGTGTACTATTTAAGCAATAGAAAACGTTTTCCGTGTTTGTATAGCCTGATATAAACACGAGAGGGGTTGGGAAAATTCGAAACAGTTATGCAAACCCGAGACGAATTCGAGGGTTTGCATAACTGTCGAGAATTCTCCCAACGCCTCGAGTGTTTACATCAGGCTATGCAAACACAGGGGAAAAGTTTTCTATTGTTTTTATAAAATAACTTTCCCGAGAAAAGACGCAAACCTCTTTGTATGGCACTGATTAAAAGAGAAATTCTTACCAGTCGCAAAGTCGTGTCCACGAAGTCTTGCACGCGTAAGCAGTTCTTGTTTTGCAAAAAGATGCTTTCCAAATACGGACTTTTCTCGCTCAAAATGTCAGCTTCAGCGAAAAGAAATTGACACACCTTTGTAACGATTTTCCAAGTTTCAGCCGACGAAGGAATGGGTAAATAAATTAAACTTGTCGAGTTTTTAACTCGAAAACTTTTTCAAATTCGTGCTTGCGTGATTAGCGCAAACATTTTGGCGCCACAACCATGTTTACATAATCTCATGCAAACACTTCTCTCGCCCAATCAGAGCGCGCGTACTATCTTAGTTATTTTATAAGGTCTTATAAATATATTTACGCCATAACTCGAAGGAAACGAGAATAGTATAATTATATTGATTTCTCAGCAAACGCAAGTTATCATTTGCTAAAAAAAATTATCAGTGGCCAAAGTAAAGTGGATGTATTATTGTTATTAATGTTTTGGGATCGTGTGAAACTAACATATGGCCAAATTACTAGTAAGCCAACCAACGATAATACATATTACTTTTTCTTTGTTTTTGTTTTTTTTTTTT